TGTGTCCTCTTATGTCCCACGGATCCACTGATCATATGGCCTAGCCATTTCGTGGACATCCTATATAGAGTCATAGACCAAAACATATATGAACCATCCTTAGGTTCTCATGGACACTCCTAGTCCATTTGGTCATACACCAATTGTATGTGCTAATGGTCTTGTCCATTATGGTCGATATCCTTTCCCATCCTTTGGGCAAGTTCATGTTGGGTAATAGACCTTAACTATCACGTCCATAACCTTATGAGTTACCTCACCAGTTGCTGCAATGATTATTATGATCACATCCAACCATGGATCTGCAGCAAATGCTCATGGACCTTTAAACATGACTTATCGACCTTTCTTGCCTTTAGCAATACAATATCTATTAGGACTTAACCATGCCTATTTTTGGTCACTCTTTTGGACTCTTATAGTTTTCTTTAATCCATTAGTACTAGCCTAATGGTCGTGCCTTCATTCAAGTCCCACACTATAACCTTTGTACTTAAACATCACATACCATACTTCCTTTGATGGTGTCCCATGACCTTCTTATAGTAAGCCACGTACTGAAGTACATTATGGTCATGGACCTTACCCACACATGTCAATAACTCGCCAATGAGTGCCTAATGTTGCCATAGCAACATGGCTTATGTGTGGTGATGTATAGGTACAGTTTATACTACATTGGTTCCTTAGGACCTTTAAACTATGCACCTTGATAGCTTAGTACCTCTAGGTCATAAGCACGTTTTGAACCAACATATTAGTCATCACACCATGGATGATTTGGACTTAGAATGTACCCGGACCTTAGCCTTGGTCGCTATGAACTTTGGTATGGACCATACGGCTCCCTTAGCCTTTCCATACGCCCACCTCTTTATGAGGTTTGGTAGTGCTGATTCCAACACATATGCCAATGACTTAAACCAATGAATAAGTCATTTTACCATCCATCCTTCCTATGGATTGGTTTACTATACACCTTTTGTATAATACACATGGACTGATTGTACTAAGTATTTCTTAGTATTCCATATTACTTGCAGCTGCATAATATCAGTCCATGAACAGCTTAGGAACAATGCTGTTCTTGAGAATTCCTTTTCTCATTT